TATGAGATGCTACAAATATTCTTTGAGAGGATAAAAAAGTATGATTGGTGAGGTAAATGGGTTAATCATTCTTTAGTATAAGAAATTAAAAAAATCATTTATTGATTTATTCCTTGTTTTCCCTAATGAAAGAAAGAAATTAGGTAAAAACTTGTGAACTAAATTCAGAATCAGGAACAATTATTCAAGTTGCTTGGGTAACTATTACAGTAGATACCAGATAGATTTATGGATGTAGTGTTGTTAGGGATGAATATACATATGACTGCATGGGAAACAGAGAAGTGCTGTGTGGCCTGGTGTCCTCTGCTTCTGCTGTGGTAGGCAAAAGGCACAAGACGCATTTCTACAAGGTGCAGCACATGGGAGCAGTAGGTCTCAAACACTGATTCCTGAGTCCCAACCTAATTTTGTCTTTTAATGTTTCTTCCTTGATTTGGATGCATATTTACTATTGAGGACCCTGCGATGACAATCTGCTTAGTTTATAAGCTTCCACTCTAAGTTGCAGACACACTTTAGTGTAAATTACTGTCATCAAGTAATGGAAGAGCATTGAGCATAGAATCAACCTGTTGGAAGGTAAACACTGATTTCTCAGTCCTTCCCAGAAATAGAGTCTGTGGCTATGACTCCAGGGAAGATAACTTTTAATATTATCATCCACTCAAGATACGTCTCTATCTGATGTAGAGCATTGTTTTAAGAAACACAGAATTGCCATAACTAGCCTGCAGACTGAAAGGTCCCAGGTTTGATTTCAGTCAAGGGCATGTACCTTGGTTGCGGGTACATCACCAAAAGAAGGTGTGCAGGAGGCAGCTGATTGATGTTTCTCTCTCATTGATGTTTCTAACTCTCTATCCCTCTCCCTTCCTATCAGTAAAAAAGACTGGGAAGGGCTAAAAAAAAAAAAGAGTTATTTTGTGAGTTCCTTACACACACACCCCTCCCCTTGGTCTCCCACCCCCACCCCCACCCCCCCAAAGGTAACTTTATTAGAGAACAAAATACACAATGGGGCTTGTTTCTAAAGCAAGTTATAGATTCTGTGCTAAGTTTGTTCTATAGAGACAGAAAATTGGAAGGATTTAAGAATCACATTAGAGAACTGAGGGGGCCATTACAAGGCCATAAGTGTGGTGTGGTGTGTGTGTGTGTGTGTGTGTGTGTGTGTGTGTGTGTGTGTGAGAGAGAGAGAGAGAGAGAGAGAGAGAGAGAGAGAGAGAGAGAGGCTTTTTTTTTTTTAAAAATCTTCTCCATCCGAGGGAGATGCAGCTTTGGTGAGATATGCTTTCTATTAATGAGATTTGCTACTCCTAGTAGATCTAGATTAATTTTAACATAAACATAATGTTTTAAATTATTTACATTGATAGTGTCAAAATAATGATGATATTTCTCCTTTGGTTTTCCAATTAACCTACTTTGAGAAGCATTTTTTCATTCAGTGACAATTTGTGCCAGGTATTGGGATGTATATTCTAAGGAAGTATTTCTGCCCTTTCGAATTATAACTTAGTTGAAGGAGCTAACCCTAAACCTAAAAGAAGACCACAGGCCATCTCTTAAAAAAAAAAAAAAAAAAAAAAAAAAAAAAAAAAAAAAAAAAAAAAAGCAAAAATAGTTCAAGGGACTGAATTTCTCTTCTCAGACTGCACATTAAAATGATGCGAGGAGCAGTAAAATGAACCCAAAATATACAAATGCAGGGCCCCAACAAGAATCTCAGAGGATAGAACTCAGCTATTTGCATATTTTAAAACTCCAGGAATGATTCAGAGCACAGATAATGGCAGACTCGTACAGCAGGGTTGAGAACACAGGCAACTGGATGGCTCACTCTACTCTGTGGGAATGGGGTGGGGAAGGTCAGCCCTTTAAAATAAGCGAGTTTTGAGCTGATTCTTAAAATGTTGGAACTGTTGCCCAAACCGGTTTGGCTCAGTGGTAGAGCGTCGGTCTGCGGACTGGAAGGTCCCAGGTTCGATTCCGGTCAGGGGCATATATGTTGGTTGTGGGAACATCCCCAGTAGGGGGTGTGCAAGAGGCAGCTGGTCGATGTTTCTCTCTCATTGACGTTTCTAGCTCTCTATTTCTCTCCCTTCCTCTCTGTAAAAAATCAATAAAATATATTAGAAAAAAAAATGTTGGAACTGTTTTCTAGGTATAGTCGGTAACAGTAGCCTACTACTCCTAGAGCATAATATTTAAGCCACCGCATGATGGATGCATAGGTGGGTCTGGAGCAGGAGGCTGGATAGCTTTTCTAGATAGTGGGAATAATGTGTGCCCAGCCTGGCTTGAAAGAAGGAATGTAGTCCTTTAGAGGAAGTGGAAGAAGGCGTACATGTCTGGAGCACAGAGATCAAGGGGAACCTGTGGGAGCAGATGATGTTACACAAATAGGTAGGAACTGAGCACAAAGGTCCCTCACTTAAGAGCAGCCATTGCATGTCATTTTGAATTTTTATTTTCATAAGGTTACAGTGACTGCTGAGAGATTGGAGGTGGGGGGAATGGAATCTGTTGAGAGGCTATTATAGGATTCCAGGGATGAAAACTTGGCAGCTTGCACTAGGGAAAACCAGTGGGAATGGAGAAAATTGGGTAGATTTGAAGGCTATTAAAGAACTAAATGTGTGTGACACACACACACACACACACACACACACACACACACATTATATGTTATGTGATTTGGAATTTTATTAGAAATGTACAACTGGGGAAACAGTCAAGTGGAAAAACAGAAGAGCACCTTAAATAAAATTAGATAGATGATAAAATTATTAAAAGTATTTTTAAAAAGTTGACAATGTTGTCAGCTAAGGAGAAGTAGATTTCTTCTATCTGAGGGAACTGCGGCCAGCGATGATGTGCATACCTAGGACTGCACTTGTCCATTGAGGAATGTAAGGCATGCTTAGTTTTCACTTAACATGATGTGTCATTCTTCCCCGAGTTTATCTTATATAATTCTTATACTACCCCTTCGTGAATATAATGGTTTTACAGATGAAGAAACCATACTCAAGAAGATTTTATGGCTTTTCTAATGCCATGTCATGCATAGTTATGTTTTATGTTACCGAATTAGATTCAAATATTCAGTATAATAGCAATCATATCTCAAGTTGTAGGTTTGTCTTTTTTATTCAAATACTACAGAAACATATTTACATGCAGCATAAATCAAAGTTAAAGGCCCTAGAACTGTCATAACTTTGAGATGGAATGACTTTAGTCAATGAAGAGAAGGGACAAGTAGGCTGTGCACATTTGTAACAAGTCAAAGTTGAGGAAGAGAGATTTTCTGGGAAACACTAAGAGGACTTTAAGAGAACAGGAAAGAAAATATTCTGGAACATCTTTGAAGGAAATGTGTAACTGGGGAGAAAATTCAATCATAGGAAGATGAGAGAATCATTTCAAGTTGGAACTTGAAAGGCAATAAATGCTAGCTCCAGACCCAGAAGAATTGTTTGAATTTAGATCAGTGCCTTTTTAAGGGGAGTGGCTATCAAATTTTCATGCAAAGACCTAATCTGAAGGTTTTGTGTTGGGGTGAAGGTAGTGAAGACCTCTTTGGTTTGATTTGAAGGAAAGCTGAGCTATTCTTCTAATCTCAAAAACAAAACAAAACAAACAAACAAAAAACCCCAGGGATTTCTACTGAAAAAAGACTTTCTGATAATTACTGAGGCTGTAACTTATTTGCTGTAGTAACCAAACGTGATGATTAGTGGGGAGGTAAAGGAGGAAAGAATTGTTCAGTCTCTAATCCACCAGCTGGACGTGGAAATAAATCACATAGATAAATTTAAACCAGGCTGTAGAACTGTCATCAGAAACTATGAAGCAGCCATAGCAGAAACATAGAGGGAGATGGTGGTGGTATAAATTGTCTCATGGACTATTAAAGTTTTACAATGAGAAGAGGTCACATATTTCAGTGTTTGATTTTTTGCAGATGAGGAATGCCAGGATAAAGTGAATTGCCTTGGTAAAAGTTCAAACCTTTAGCCCAGTTGGTGTGGCTCAGTGGTTGAGTGTGGACCCATGATGCAGGAGGTCAAGGTTCCATTCCCAGTTGGGTCACATGCCCAGGTTGCAGGCTCAATCCCCAGGCGGCAGGGTGCAGGAGGCAACTGATCAATGATTCTCTCTCATCATTGATATTTCTATCTCTCTCTCCCTTTCCCTTCCTCTCTGAAATAAATAAAAATATTTTTTTTAAAGTTCCAACATTTAAAGAAAACAAACACTCCTCTGCTCAAACAACTCTGCTGGCTATATCTATACTATACATAAAGCATGGTCTTAGTTTCCTGCTCTTTTATAATCTGGTCAACACTATTTCTAATCTCACGTCCACTTCTATCAATACCTTCTGTTCTCTGGTTGAACAGAGACAGATTACTCTGGACAAAGTAAAGGCCTGTGTCAGGGAAGTGCATCATGGGGCAAGGATGTTCCAGAAAAGGGGAACAGCATGTGTGAAAGCACAGGCTTTAAGAGGCAGGGCATGTAGAAGACCTGGTGGCATGTTCAATGTAGCTGGGGTATGACATGAAAATGAGGAAACTTCTGGTGACAAGGTAGGTTTATTCCTTAGGGCAAGACTTGGTGAACTGTTATGCAGTTCCAATTTTCCCTCTTTCGGCAACCAGAGAGGATTTTAAGCAGAGAATGACATGTTCAGATTGGTTTGTCTGAGATGTAATTCTGGCTGCATTCTACTACTATCCTTCTTTGTATGAATTATGTCTCTGCTAATATTTAACTTAGGAGTTTAGAAAGCACTCTCCCATTTATATCCTTCTTTTTTTTTTTTTTTTTTTTTTTTGGCTAGGTGGGAATGAATATATGTTATCAAAGTATGGCATAAAGGTGTCAGATACTTTAATGTGTTTGTATGCGTGTTATATAAAGCATATGAACTATTACCTCAAAAAATCTGATTTTGAATTACTTCATTTTTAATTTATTCTTTTAAGGTCTGACAGCAGCAGCTGCAGCAGCTGCCGCTGCTACCAATGCAGCGATTGCTGAAGCAATGAAGGTGAAAAAAATCAAGTTAGAAGCCATGAGCAACTATCATGCCAGTAATAACCAACATGGAGCAGATTCTGAAAATGGGGACATGAATTCAAGTGTTGGTGAGTTGTATGTTCACTGAAACATAGTGTAATCATTTTACTACCAAATTACTTCCTTTTCAGAACAAAACTATTGGTTACCCATTCAAGAAGTTGCTCCTTTTAGCTCCAAAACAGTGTATTTTTTGAAGATACTATTTAGCTTCTAATAACACGCAGTTTAAATAAATAATTAGCAAAATTATTTTTTTATTATAAGATCAACTTTATGCCTGCAACTTCTATAAGCATTCAGTTAACATCTTTCATAATACAAATATGTTTTAATAATTGGAATTCTAAAATATTAAGGTGGCAGAAGAATATTTACAAACAAAACCATACTCTATCTTTTTTTATTCTCTTAATGTGTTTCTTCTTCAATAAGAAATTTTCTTTAGCAGTCAACATATAACTTAATCCTTTCATGTGCTGCCAATAAGAATTATGTTGATAATTAATTTTTTCTATGTATAACTATTATCCATTTTTCTCATATTAGATATATAACTTTAATTTCTCTTGATTTTTTTTTTTCTTGTGGTATGGAGAAAAGATGAAAAGTTTGCAGTTACTATTTAAACCAAAGGAACAGTTTTTTTTTTTCTTTGCAGAATTCATCTGGGTAAATTGTTTTGTCAAACACAACTTCAGTGTGGGTTAAATTTTTTTCATGAACATCTTTAGGTATCCTGTGTTGGTGAGACACAACATTTTAGCCTACCACTGCACTGTTTTATTTCCCTTTAAAATGTAGAAATCATGCTCAAAATATAATTTAACAAGAGAAATTTGGATGCTATAAGATGTATGTAAGATACTATTTCTACCAAATGTTCACATAGGACACAAGCATTTATGACAGTTCTATTAAGTTTTCTTTTTCATGCATGATTTTAACAGATTATTTCTTCATATAATGAACTCTCCACTTTCAGTACATTGGCATGTGGTTAGGATATATGGGGGAATACTATGGGTAGAAAAATATTAGTGCTTGCATTTGTGGTGCTTCCAGTGAGAAGATAGGGGCAGCAGATTGTTTAAGTCATTTACATGCATAAATTTAGACTTTTAAAAGTTAAAAACTTGTGATTGTATGATTATCTGAAATGTGCTGTTGCTTAATTCAGGTGTAGGGAAGAAAAGGTATTTGATAAATGAAAAACAGACATGGGATGGCTTTAAACTGGGTGGAAGAAGTCAATCTGAGAAGACATATGTAATTCTATTTCCTTGGTATTTTTATATATAAATATGTGTGTGTGTGTGTGTGTGTGTGTGTGTGTGTGTGTGTGTGTGTGTGTGTAGGGATAGAGAACAGATCAGTAGTAGCAAGAAGTGAAGGAGTGGTGTATTTATAAAGGGAGCTTTTTCAGAGTGATGGAATATTTATGTATATTGATTGTGGTGGTGGCTACATGAAAAATGAGTTAAAATTCATAGAATTGTACCATCCCTGCCCACAACGTGAATTTTACTGTATAATAATTTTAAAAATAAATAAAAGTTATAAATGATTGAAGTAGCCCTGGCTGAATAGCTCAGTTGGTTAAAGCATAGTCTCAATACACCAAGATTGAGGAGTTCCAGCCCTGTTAGGGGACATACAAGAATCAACCAATGAGTTCATAAATAAGTGTAACAACAGTGACAATAATCCATCTGTTGTTCTCTCTATCTCTCACACACACACACAAAATATCTCTTTCCTTCTCTCCCTTTCCCTTCCTTCCTCTCTCTCTCTAAATATCAGTGCATAAAAATTTTCTGAAAAATAATTGAAGTAAAATGAATTGTAACTAGAGCATAATTAGACACCCACTACAAATTTTAATTATTATTTTGAAACATAATCTGGATTGTTACCAAGTTTTAGAAGAGTAAGATTTCAATGCAGGCTATTCTTAATAGTTGGTTTTGGGAGGAAAGATAAACAAATTATGCATTTTAATAAAATTTAAAGCAAAATATATTAAAACTTGATACTTCTTTTCAAATTTCTGAGCAGCAGAACAGAAATTTGACTTTGGGGAAACCAGCAGGTATGAGAAAAGGAGACTATAGCTCAGAATTGAACATTGATGTCAACTTAATAATTAATATTATAGAATAATATTTGCCTACTGACTAAATAATAGTTTACCTTCATTATGTGGGCACATAGGGTATCACATAATACTTAAAAAAAAACAATTTAAGTTTTGTGTTTTACTTGGAATAAATCACTTCTCTTTCATTAAAGTATTTATCAATAGTTGGTAGCCTATATTGTTTTTCAGTTTTGACACCCACCATCTAACATCAATTTAAACCAGAGAAGAAATTTATTTGAATTTTCTTAGAAAGTCTTGAAAAGGTATTTTGGGATTGTTGTAATAGTGGTGTCATTACTAATCCTGCAGGGGTCTTCAAACTATGGCCTGCAGGCCACATGCGGCCTGCAGAGGAGTCTGATCCGGCCCGCCAGGTTTTTTGGGCAGTGAGCGCAGCCGAGGTGTTACAGTAGGAATTAGTAGTTCATATAGTCCGGCCCTCCAGCTCTCTGAGGGACCGTGATCTGGCCCCCACTTTAAAAAGTTTGAGGATGCCTGCCTTAAGGCATGTAGATCATTTATGTTACATATATGTAGCTGATTTGAGGTGGAAATGTTATATTTGTCATTTTTATTCCATTGTCTCACATGCTACTGTCCTCTAAGAATTTATGACTTATTATCCTTCCTGAGCACACCCCCTGCCTTCCTCCTTTATCTAGAGATCAGGAAACAAAAGTTTGGGGGAAGGGGAGGGCACAAGGCAATGGTAGGGGTGGGATTGAGCTTGTATAGATCAAAGTGGTTGGTGAATTAGCAGTTGCTTTCTATGGCCCTAGTCTTCTCTGATTTTGAGAACACCACTTGCCTCTTGCTAAGTGTTCAATAATTACTTGTTCTGTCACTTTGCAGTTATGGAAAATTTGGAGCCTAACATTTCAAATCTGGAAAATGGCTTAAATCATAGTATTATATCATAATAATTCAAGGATGTCATATTTGTCAAACAAACCATGTCTATTTTTCACTTTGGTCACCAGTAAGATTTGGTATTGCTTTGACTATTATTAGTATTTCTCCAAATTTATTCTTTTGAAAATCACCTTTGTCCTCTTTTTACAGTCATTAACTGCTCCCTCCTCTGTTTTCCCATTATATCCGATGGATATTATTTGTAAACTACTGGCCTGGGAGGAAACTTGGGAGAGCTGTTTTGCCATTTGAATTTCCTTGTAAGTTTGATTTTAGCTCATTCTAGGAACACAAAAAGGATCATGCCACAGTCCCAGTACTCAAGATACATCCAGTTAGTGGGTGGGATTGCTAGGTGTGCGGACTCTGGGAGATGTGCCAGGCCTTCTAGGGATATTGTTAGCATGAGCTGCTCAGGAAGTGGTATTGGAGCAGAGGAATTCCAGGAGGAATCCCAAGAATCTCTAAGGCCAGTATTTCAGAATACAAACTTACCGCTCTCACAAATCTATCAATTGGCTCTTTGAAGTAGTAAAACCTCTCAGAGAGGTGCCACTTAATGGTGTATTGTTGCTCATTAGCTCTGCCCAAACCCAGTGACATTTTTGAAGCTATTTCAGTGTTGTTGTTTTTTTCTCTCTCTTTGCACTCGTCTGGCTTACATGTTTTGTTGAACATTTCATATTTGCCTATGCAGGAACACTGATTTCCCCCCTGGTTGTAAATAAGCCCTTATTGTCTGAGGAAATAGATTTTAGGGGGCTTGATTTGGTTCGATTTGGCTTGCTGGACTCAAGGGATATTTTTATTATAAATGTCCCTTTCCAGTTCTTAACATGAATCGTAAAAATTAGCCAAACAAAGGTTTTTAAAGTAACCTTTGACACTGACAAATAAGTATTGTGCATTCCAATTTTACCTGGTGACCTTGAGCTCACGTCTTTCCAACAGAGTGATCACTTTAGGAAGACCTGAGAACTTCAGGATAGATCCGAGTGAGGCATCAGCATGCTGAGTAAAATATATGGCCATGTCGCCATTCTCCCTCATCCACAATCAATTGGATTCTTTTAGTTTAATATTTACTCGCTAAGATGAGATGCTAGTCTGCATGGTGATAAACAGTCTGCTCCTGGCATCTGAAGGTGACCTGTCAGTTCATATGGACAAATCTCCTGCTTACTGAAATGTACAAAATAAATCATTAAAGCAGGCAGGTGCTCATTCCCAGATTTAAATCACCATAGATTTATGATTTGAATTAATGCTTCATTTGGCCATAGAAATAGATGCTGAGACAAATGATATGCACTGGTTGGGACTTCCATACTGTAGCCATCCTGATATTGATTACTGAGATGTCTTTGCAATCTCTTGTTTATATCAAGTACTATCTTGTGACAGGTTGGCTGATATGAGCTACATTGCAGATAAGAAGGAAAAATGTCCTGGATTCTTTTTAGTGGCAACACTATCCACAACATACAGGCCAGATAAATTGCTATTTTTTTGCTTTAAGGACTGATCTACATAACCAGCTTAAAAAATGCTGCTTGGAAATTGGGCCTGGGACAATGGAAAGGCAGAATTTAAAACCCGTGAACTCAAGGTCAATTACATAGTATTTCTAGTTGTGTGTTTTTTAAATCTGCTTATTATTATTTTTTGTCATCATGAACATTTTTGAAGTCACTAAATTAAGCACAATTGATTTAATCTAAATAAAGGAAACTTAATTTTACTTCTAGTTTTGAAATGCTGTATAAATATTGACATAGCTAACATCACTTAATAGTTTCTGTGTTATTTAAATACTTGCTAACCTAATGTCTTACTCCCTTAACTAATGACAACATAGGAAACGACTCTTTAAAGGTAAATACATTAAATATTATTCTCAAATCGGAGATGTCATGGACTTAATTTACCAAGAGACAGGAAAACACTGCATTTTTTTTTCTTCTCTTAACATTTTATTTAAGGAAAACATTATGTACACAGTTTAAAGAATAC